GGCCGGTGAGTGAGGAGGAGGAAGGGGGATAATCGGGACCGGGATGGGGGGTACGGGGCTCGGCTGACGCTCTCCCCTCTCTCCCCAGGTCAGCGCCGCGGCGGCGGCGGCCGGAGCCTTCCCCAAGCGTGTGAAGGTGGTGGAGGTGGGACCGCGCGATGGGCTCCAGAACGAGAAGGTACGGACGGACGGACACACGGACGGGCCGGGGCTCCCGGGCCCTCGGCACCTCACCGTGGGGGGGTCCCTCCAACCAAATCCCCTGAACGTGCCACCCTGCCCCACCGGCATGGTCTTTTTTCAAAATGCTGCTTTTTGATCTTGAAAGATACGGGTTTTTTGCAGTGGTAGGAAACTTTATTGTGAAAATAATAACTTAAGGTCGTTTTTCTTATTATTTTCTTTTTTTCCCACCCTTTTTAGAATGTTGTACCGACACCGGTGAAAATCAATTTAATCAATATGCTGTCAGAGACGGGGCTTCAGGTTATAGAGGCCACCAGCTTTGTTTCCCCCAAGTGGGTTCCTCAGGTCAGTATTCACATGGGATTTACAATTCACTCTTATAAAAATGGCGATTAATAGATAGTTATCCAATAAAAGGAATCCGCTTGCTCCAAACTCCTTGCTATGGGGCAAGAAGCAACAAAGCCAAGTAAAGATGATGAGAGGCCTGGAGCATCTCCCTTACAAGGAGAGGCTGAGGGACTTGGGTCTTTTTAGTCTGGAGAAGAGAAGGCTGAGGGGGGATCTGATCAACACCTATAAATACTTAAAGGGAGGGTGTCAGGAGGATGGGGCTGGTCTTTTCCCCTAACATGGAGAGCGCGGGGCTCATGTGACCACCCCTCCCCTCTGGTCACGTGTGGGCCGGTCACGTGAGAGCGGGCGGACATGGCGGCGCGGCGGCTACTCCCGCGGTGGGCTGTGTCGCTGCGGCCGGTGAGTGAGGAGGAGGAAGGGGGATAATCGGGACCGGGATGGGGGTGCGGGGCTCGGCTGACGCTCTCCCCCCTCTCTCCCCAGGTCAGCGCCGCGGCGGCGGCGGCCGGAGCCTTCCCCAAGCGTGTGAAGGTGGTGGAGGTGGGACCGCGCGATGGGCTCCAGAACGAGAAGGTACGGACGGACGGACACACGGACGGGCCGGGGCTCCCGGGCCCTCGGCACCTCACCGTGGGGGGGTCCCTCCAACCAAATCCCCTGAACGTGCCACCCTGCCCCACCGGCATGGTCTTTTTTCAAAATGCTGCTTTTTGATCTTGAAAGATACGGGTTTTTTGCAGTGGTAGGAAACTTTATTGTGAAAATAATAACTTAAGGTCGTTTTTCTTATTATTTTCTTTTTTTCCCACCCTTTTTAGAATGTTGTACCGACACCGGTGAAAATCAATTTAATCAATATGCTGTCAGAGACGGGGCTTCAGGTTATAGAGGCCACCAGCTTTGTTTCCCCCAAGTGGGTTCCTCAGGTCAGTATTCACATGGGATTTACAATTCACTCTTATAAAAATGGCGATTAATAGATAGTTATCCAATAAAAGGAATCCGCTTGCTCCAAACTCCTTGCTATGGGGCAAGAAGCAACAAAGCCAAGTAAAGATGATGAGAGGCCTGGAGCATCTCCCTTACAAGGAGAGGCTGAGGGACTTGGGTCTTTTTAGTCTGGAGAAGAGAAGGCTGAGGGGGGATCTGATCAACACCTATAAATACTTAAAGGGAGGGTGTCAGGAGGATGGGGCTGGTCTTTTCTCAGTGGTGCCCAGGGACAGGACAAGAGGAAATGGGCACAAACTTGAACATAAGAAGTTCCACCTAAACATGAGGAGGAACTTCTTCCCTGTGAGGGTGGCAGAGCCCTGGCAGAGGCTGCCCAGGGAGGTGGTGGAATCTCCTTCTCTGGAGACATTCAAACCCCACCTGGACACGTTCCTGTGGGACCTGCTCTGGGTGGACCTGCTTTGGCAGGGGGTTGGACTAGATGATTTCCAGAGGTCCCTTCCAACCCCATGTCATTCTGTGATTCTGTGAAAAGAGCTTGCAGTGTCCCAGACCTTCCCTTTGGACCCTGCGTAAGAGCAAATGTGCAGCTCAAACACAAACAGCCGGTTGCGCAGGTGTTGGCGCTGGCTTGGCTGGGTCACTGGACTCTGATCCTTCACGGGGTGTGATGCTTTACGCTCTTCAGAGGCCCATTTCTCTTGTTCCTAAATATTTCTGTGCCCGTGTTAATAAATATTTTATCATTTGCCCAAGTGGACGTCATCACTCTTAGAGACCTCTTCCTTGTTTGCATTGCAGATGGCTGACCATACTGAAGTCATGCAAGGAATTAACAAGTTGCCTGGTGTCAGTTACCCTGTGCTCACCCCCAACCTGAAGGGATTTCAGGCAGCGGTAAGAGCTGGCAGCATCTGCATGTTCTGGGCACCTCGAGCACGGGGCTGCCTACGGAGGGACATCTCCTCTCTGGTTAGAGGGTGGGAAATGCATCTTCCCCTCTGTCAGGCAGCCCTCTTATCTTCTAGTTCTTCTACAAGGGATCATTTTCCTGGGGAACTGTAAACCTCTTGTTTATAATAGAAAATACCTCAATATATTTTCTATTTATATATATATATATATAAAATGAGTAATCTATTTTAATTGACAGTGATTAATTGACAGCTTTCAGTCTTATCCGCATGTCCCACCACTCTCCAGCAGATGTGGCTTTGGTGCTGCATCTGTAACTTTACACTTCCTTTTGAAGACAAACTTGGATGTTTTTGCTGTACAATGAACTGAAGAAAGAATTGGGTTATTCCCAATTGAGCTACTATTGGGGAAGAAATGTGGTTTTTTTATAAAATGAGAGAACTGCAGTCATGGTTGCGCTTGTCATTTCCCTTGCAAGAGAAATTAATTTATGCTTTCTACTGGCAGGTGGCAGCAGGAGCCAAAGAAGTGTCGATCTTTGGAGCAGCGTCTGAGCTCTTCACGAAGAAGAACATCAACTGTTCCATCGAGGAGAGTTTGGAGAGGTTTGATGAAGTGATGACCGCAGCGAGAGCAGCCAGCATTCCTGTCCGGGGGTAAGGAGCTCCTGCCATGGATTTAGCACCAAGCAGGTCGTGTGGAGAGATGCAACTGCTTGAATTTATCCCTTTGGGGTCCAGCTTGTGCGACGCTGGGGAGTGGGATTTCTTTTAAACTACCTTTTTTTGGAGGGAGGTGTCTCTCATCCTGGGTGGGTGCCAGCAGATGTGAGCTCAGTGCGTTGAGAAGCATTAGTTTGGAAACTCCACCACATCTCCCGTGGGTTCAGATGCTGGCTTGGTGCAAAGCCTGGACTGCTCGTTGCAGTTTATACTCTTCCAAATGGATTCACCCTTCCTGGAATTATTCTGCCTTGTCTTGGCAAATTTTTCACGTCCATGGAAGAAGTAGTTGTTGAATGGTTAATTATGATAACTTCGTCCACTGGGCTGATTTTTAGAGAATGAAACTAATTCCTCCATTGTATAGAGCATGTGAGATGCAGCACAAGTCCTGACTAATTTGGCCAGTATGATCTCACTTGAGTTCTCTAGCTGAAAGTGTGTATTTTTTTTAACCATAGATATGTTTCCTGTGTCCTTGGGTGTCCCTATGAAGGGAAGATTTCAGCAGCTAAAGTTGCAGAGGTGAGTTAATCGTTAACTATAGCCAGAATTTCTGAGAGGTTTTTGGTTCCCTTTTATGGCTGGAGAGTGTGTCAAACCATTTAGACGAAGGCTGAGGGAAGACTGGGGAAGGTTATTGGTAGCTGCCACCGCAGGAAGGGTGGGTCCACCTGAAATGGATGTGGAGATTCAGGGAGAAGAGTCTCTTGGATGTTGTGCTCCAGGAAATGATGCTCTGACTCCTCTGGACGGTGGGTTTCCAGCTCTGGGGAAGGGAATGGCAAAGCTGCCTTCTCAGCGAGCGTTCTCACCTTTGGACAGGTCTCAAAGAAGATGTACTCGATGGGATGCTACGAGATCTCCCTGGGTGACACCATTGGCATCGGGACCCCAGGGAGCATGAAGGAGATGCTGACAGCAGTCATGAAAGAGGTGCCGGTGGGGGCTCTCGCTGTTCACTGCCATGATACCTACGGGCAAGCTCTTGCCAACATCTTGGTAGCCCTTCAGGTGAGAGCCTTGCTTTGCAGTGCAGCATCTCTCCTCGAGTTTCTTCTGCGCTTCCTTCTGAACCGTAGATTTGAGGGGCAGGACCACGGCTTTTACTTTTAAGAGTCTACTGATGGTGGTTTTGTTTGCAGATGGGCGTGAGCGTGGTTGATGCTTCGGTCGCTGGCCTTGGAGGCTGCCCCTACGCCCAAGGAGCATCAGGAAACGTTGCTACAGAGGACTTGGTGTACATGCTGAACGGCCTGGGCATCCAAACCGTAAGTGCCAGCAGGAATGGCTCCTCCTCTCCTTTTCTCAGAGCTCTGAGGTTTGACCCCTCACTCAGAATCACACCACTGAGCAGCAGGCACTGTGCTTGCTGGTTAAAGTACCCCTTAACTGAAGGGTACTTTAGTTGAAGTACCCTAAACCTCGTTAAAGTACCCTTTAAAGACTCCCTCACCCCCTGCTTGTCTCTCCCAGTGATGCCAGTTGTTACTGGGCAGCTTTACTTGGCAGAACCAGTACCAAGGCATGTTGTATCTTTATTTTTTTTTCTCCACGAAGGGTGTGGATCTGCAGAAGCTGATGGACACGGGCACGTTTATTTGCAACGCTCTCAACAGACGAACCAATTCCAAGGTCTCCCAGGCGTCCTGCAGACTGTGATACCCAGGGGTGTTTCTCCTGGGATCAAGAAGGAAGCACGGATCTGGCGCTGCCCGGGTTTCCCCTCTGATCCTCAGTTGCCCCTTCCAGGCTCGGCGCTTGAGAGGAAATGCATAATCCACCAGAATCTTTGAAGAAATGAAAAAAAAAAAGTATACTACATTCAGCCTTGAAGCCGTTTGCCTTAGAGAGGGGAGGATGATGAGGGAGAAGCAGCGGCTGCAGCCTTGCCTTCCCCCAGAGAGTCCTGGCTCAGAACAGTGTCTGGTAACTGCTGCCTCCAGAATGTGTTTCCACATCTCCCAGCAGAGGATAAAGCACAGCTCTCCTGGTCACAGCACTTCTCCAGGGCTGGCTCCACTTGTCTTCTCCTCTCTCCTCCCCACAAGATGTTAAGACTGAAATCAGAAGGCTCCCTTTCCTCCTTCAAAGGGCAGCCCTGCACCTCCTGTCTTAGCGTTTAGGGCTTGTACTAAAGGACTGTATCTGTTGTAAGATACTTCTAAATACGAGGAGTAATAAACATATTATTTAATAATCTAAACTATTAGAAATTAGGTTTAAATAAACCAGTTAAAAGAACTTTTGCTGCTGGTTTGCTTCTAAGTGCCTCTTCCACGGGCCCTCGCCGTGGAAATGCTGCATGGTGGTGGGCTGTGGTGTGTCCCCTGAGAGAAGAGAGCATGGAACACACGTGTTTCGTGTTCTGTGCCCACACAAACTCCGCGTGGTTGACAGGTCCTAGGGCAGAAGCCCAGTCTTCCATTTAAAATAATGTATTTAATAGTCTATTAGCGAGACCAGAAACGAGCTGGTCACATACACGGCCGTCCCTCCGGCTCTCTCCGCGTCACTTCAATAAGCTGTACCGATTAAATAAACCGTGACGCTGAAATAAGTTGGAATCGGTGAATAAATGGGTGCGTTTTGAAGGGCTCAGTGGCGTCCTCCCGCCGTTAGAGGGCGCTGCGGAACAGCGCCTCTCTCCCTGAGGGGCGGGGGTTGTGTGGCTCCGCCCTTCCATTCGGCGAGCCAATGGGCGCCCTTTCACGCTACTCCCTGCCCCCTCGGTGGGCGTGGTTTCCGCGCATGCGCGCACACACGCAAACCCCCTCCGCCGCAGCTTTTTGTCCCCGCCGCCGCCCCGTAGCTGGAGCCGGTGACACGTTTCCATGGGAGAGCGGGGCGCGTGGCACCGCGGGGGGAGGGTAGAGGGCGGGGAGCGCGAGCCGGCCCTTAAAGGGGACGCACCCGGCACGGGGGGTAGAACCAGCGCGGCGGCGGGAGGCGGCGGGTGAGCGGCCGGTGAGCGGCCGGTGAGCGGCCGAGGGGCTCGGGTGTGGGCGGGAGGGCGGGCGGAGGGATGCGCTGCCGTGCTCTGCCTCAGCGGGGGGCTCCCACGGCCCGGCCACTGAGGTAGATCAAGCCTCTGAGGTAACCCCGGACCCCTGAGGTAAATGCAGCCCCTGAGGTAACCCCATGCCTTGAGGTAATCCCGGACCCCTGAGGTAAATCTAGCCTCTGAGGGAACCC